TTGTTTATTTGGGTGCTAAGGTATGTATGTTTTAACATTCTATGATGTATTATTTATATGGTTTATTATTTATAAGTAGGGTCGCAGTGCTGATTTTTAACGTTTACATGTATTCATACTTTAAGTCCTAGAATGTGTTTTAAGCAATATTGCTGGCTAATGATTATTGCTTTTAGGTGAGAGTATCTCATAATTAAATCAATGGGTCTGTATGGGAATTGGGGATCAACCTACAAAGAGCTCAGTGCAGACTCAAGACCTGACGGACAAAGTCAACAGCCAGTCGGTACTCAGATGAATCAATAGGACCTAGCAGAAAAAGTCATTAAATATAATAAAAAAGCATGTATTATTAAATTATGTATAATTAAAGCTGTAGCACCAGCAATTAAGGTTTAACTAAGTACTTTCATTTTAAACTGAAACTTTCAAAGCTTGATCTTTGGGTAAAGGTGAAGTTTTAAAAAAGTTTTAGCATTTTTTAGCATACGGAGGGCAAAAAACACATTCTTATTTTTTCTTTAAAGACCTCCCTGATGATCATCTTCATGATGCCTCTGAGCCAGTTGAGGTTTGAAAGTTGAAACTGATCTGTATAACTAGTTTGCATTAAGGAGAAATATCTAATTTTATAGTGAAAATGCATTTTGGTTTGCTGATCTGAGTCTTTGGAAGTTACACTATGCACATGAACAATACACATTACTAGGATATTAAAAAAAAAACAAACCCTGTGCTGTTTTTGAGTGAATGTAGGGTGCGCATTATTGTTCATGTATAATTAGTTTAGGTATGTGCTAAACAAATTATGTTGTATGAGTATACTGTACAGCGTATAGAAATAGATCTGGTTCCTTCAGTGTGATAATCCCATATGCTCACTGGATAGAGAACTCTGTGATTGCTTCCTTTATTTGGATCTTCTTTTCTTTGCAAGTTGCTCTGTTCTTATGGATGGATGACTGCATAGCATCCCACTGAAGTCAACGGCATTCTACTCAGGTGCTTTTGATCCCTGTGTTGTCCAACCGATCAAGCTGGTTGTGGAATTTTTGTTTTTATAAAATGTTGTCCAAAAAGCCTAGGAAATTCCATCAAAAATTGTGTTTGATCACTTCAATTGATCCCCAAAGTCTAAAGTCAGGGAACTTAATGCCAATTTAAATACTAGACAGGCACCTGCAACTCTGATCCTCTGCTTGTGTGCATTATGATAATCTCAGAATATATGATCACTTATGGTTTTCAAATACTGGCATTAGTACTATTTAATTCTATCCACAGAGGGTTCAAGGGGCACTTGTCTTCCCTACAGAATTGTTAGGGACTTTCATGCAAGAGGCAAGGATTTCTTAGGTTATTTTTTTTCTGGACCAACTGAGTATTTGGGATAAAGTAGTTGGGATTAAGTTAAAGGAGCTTTTGAATGCAAGATACTCTTCCTTACTCAGCTCTCCGAGGAAGAAGGTCATCCTAAGGAAGAATGCCTTCTGTTGGCAAGGCAATCAGGACTCGTTAGAGATCTCTTATTAGACCAAGATTTTTGCAAAAAAAAGGCTTTAATTGCAGGCTTTCTGGCACAAGCACCCTTCATCAGGCACTGGAGAAAAGATTGTCCAAGTTCTGCTGGGTAGAAATGAAAGTTCATCTTTCATAGGATTTCACAGAGGAGTCAATAGTCTGTTGGAAAGCTCTTTCTCACCTGGTCTAAGAGAAGCTGCTGCCCTAAGAAATCCTTGCCTCTTGCACAATCTCAGGGCCATCACAGCTACAACATCACAGGCTACGGGGGCTTTCATAGCATCTTGTTTTCTAGCACTCCCAGAATCGTGCTGTGCCCGTGGGTCCAAGGAGGGAGCGGGGAGAATGGCACAGTGCAAAAAATGGTCCAGGCAAAGAAGGGCATCCCTGGGTGCCCAGGCACCGCGGAGGAGAAACGAGGCGGCAGAGACATTTGCTGGCGAGGTCACGGCATCGTATCCCCCAGCGCTGCGAGCAGCCCGGTGTTGCGCCCCGCGCTGGGCAGCCCCCGGCTCTTTTTTTTTTCATTTTATTTTTTTTGTCTACCACCGCGCTCTCACATTGGCCAGACGCTCCAAACTGAACCTCACGCTCCTCGCAGCCGATTGGGTGCACTTTCCGCCCATCTCCCCGGGAA